TCATTTCCTCTAAATTGGATCTATGTGGAGGTTCTTGTGCATAGTAGTTATCTTGAGGAGCTCTAGTACCTCTCACATTCGAATTGGAAGCATTTTGATTAGAAAAACCTATATTGTTATTGTTGCTCCAATTGTTCCTCTTATTAGAGTTCCCCCCTTGGTGATATTGGCCTTGATTCCTATAATAAATTCCCTTGGTTATTATAGTTATGGTTACCATAACCACCTTGTTGGTTGTATTTACCTTAGGGATTTTGATCCCTTTGGTTCCTATTCCCCCATTGATTTTGGTTATGGTAATCATAATCATTTCCTCTTTGGTTATAGGAATTTCCCCCTTGCCCTCTTTGATTGGGTGGTAAATATCTTTGGTTGTCATTCCTAGGTCTATTCTCGTAAGACAAAGCATTGACATGTTCGTTTTCAAGCTCATTACCCTCCTCATATTGGGGTTGGGGTTGGAAATCATAAGTGCAAGAAGAGGTGTCATGATCATATGATCCAGAATTTTCACAAAATAAGCACCCATTTGGCATGTTATTAGATGTAGAAGGGTTAGAACTCATACCTCTCCCCTTAGATTGGGAGGGATGCTCTTGGTGTGAAGAGGAGCACTCAAGCTTCGCCTTGATTAATGTCATCTCCTTGCCAAGGTTGGTGATTTGAGATGTCAAATTATTGATGGCATTGAGGTGATCAACGGAGTAAACCGCACTCCCTCCTTTGCTCGAAGACTCCATCTCTCCTTCTTGCCAATCCATGTGGTGTCTCAACACATCCTCTATGATTTCAATAACTTTCTCCTCTGTTTTGTTTATAATCGTGCCACCGGCTCCCACATCCAAACTAGTCTTCCCTTAGGGGCTCAAGCCTCCGTAGAAAATTTGAAGCACTTGGTATGTGGGAATGCCATGATGAGGACACTCCCTTTATTCTTTTTACCTCTCCCATGCCTCGTATATGGTTTCACTAGCTCTTTGAAGGAAACCTTAGATCAACACCCTTGCTTCGGCCATCTTCTTTTGAGAGTAAAATCTCCCTAAGAAAGCCGTGGTGACCTCATCCCAAGTTCTTATTGAATTGGGTCTCACCTCCTTTTCAAGCCATTTAAGAGCCCTTCCTATTAGGGAGAAAGGAAATAGCTTTAGTCTCACAAACTCTTGAGTGACCCCATTCACCTAGATCATGTTGCAATATTTCTCAAACTCGTTCAAGTAAGCAAGAGGGCTCTCGTGCTTTGCTCCACTAAATTGTCTCCTCTCAATTAAATTTATCATTGCGGGCCGAATCTCGAAATCATTGGCCGGGGTGATTGGGGGAGCAATCCCACTTGAAGCTCTATAAGCTCCCGGAGTTACCAACTCCTTCAAAGGTCTTTGAGGTGGTGGCTGTGGATCACCCATTTGATCTTGTTGTTCCTCGGAGTTGAAATCTCTAGTTAGGGAAGTAGTTAACGGCCTAGAACCGGCTCTCCTTCTCCTTCTATAAGTTTGTTCAATCTCGGAATCGTAAGGTACCAAAATCCTGTTATGGGTTCTGCGCATACACACTCAACAATTGCAATTAGTAACAAGGCTACAAGTGTAGCCAAAAAGAAACAAACTCTTTTTGTATTTTTCTTTTGATTGTGAACTCGACTCAAGTAATCAATTACCAATTAACAACACCGTTCCCCGGCAACGGCGCCATTTTGATGGGCGTTTGAACGGTCGCACATTCCACACTCATTCAAACACATTTATAAGCAAACACCTCACAAACCAAGCACAATGATAAGTAAGAGTTCGGTCCACAAGGAACGGGGTATAATTGCTAAAGATCTTAACACTCAAGCTAATTCGAGGTCTTTTGTTGAAAGGGGTGTTCGTCAAGTAGACAACAAACTATTATTCTAAATCAAGTAATTAAAAGCACTAGGGAATGGGATCCACTCAACCATGGCAATTAGGCATATTGGGAGTAAAAGAGACAAGAGATAGCAAGGACTATATGCAAGACCAACCTCATGCAATTAGGAAAACAACTCACATTCCTAAACTTAGATCCCTCATTAGTTTAGCAATAGGAGGTACATAATCAAATTGCAATAAGTAATGACATACTTAATCTACATTTTCATGTCAAACTAAGCATAACATGCCATCAAGCTCCAAATTCAAGGGTAGCTACTCCTATCATGAAGAACTAACAAGCAATCTCATACAATCAATTTAATCACAAATCAAACATCAATACTTCTCCCAAGTTTACTTAGTTAACCATTAGGTTGAGTTTCACCCAAGCCCTAGCAAAGAGGACTACTCACAACTCATTTTGAGTGACATGCAAACCAAGATTAGGGTTCTAACTAGTTCAATAATTAGGGGAAAGTGATTAACTAATGATAAAACTAACATTCAACAACAAACAATCAAGATCTAAAGAGATTAAGGTGACATGCAATAACAAAATAAAATCAGAAAATAAATAGAGAAAAGTGAAAGAAGTTACTAATTGAAGCTTCAAATGTTGAAAACAATTGCTGAAATGTTGAGAATAATCGGTGAAACTTGCTACTACAATGATTAATTTGAGGATTTCTAAGCTAAAATACCAAAGATGATTGTTTCAAACTAAGAGAAAGTTGCTAAGAACTATGCTACTGCTACCTGTTTTAAAATGAACTAAAGAGGTAGTATTTATACTCCCCGAATTACATAGGTTAATCCATCAAAAGAAAACGGATTTGCAGCTAGGAGTGCCCGCTCCAGAAAGAGGAGTGCCCGCTCCTTATACATGTGCGCCCGCTCCTCTACTCTTCATGAAGATTCAAAACTCCAGGGAGGAGCGCCCGCTCCTCGCTCTTTCAACATGAGGCAGATTTAAGCAAATAGGGAGGAGCGCCCGCTTCTATCAGGGTGCACGCCCGCTCCTCTTATCTCAGATTGAGGCAGATTCTAGCAGACCAGATAGGAGCGCCCGCTCTAGCTGTTCTCAAATTATAGGCAATATGTTGAAGTCTTGGAGGAGCGCCCGCTCCTCACAGGTTCAGAAACATGGCAGAATTATGTAAACTTTGCAGGAGCGCCCGCTCATGGGGAGGTGCACGCCCGCTCCACCAGGAGCGACCTCTCCCTCCATCACTTTTTGCCTCTAATCTCGATCCATGAACTTCCTTGCTTTGCCTCACTTCACCATTACCTGCCAATTAAGTATACAAACACACAAGGAGGAGGGCAAAGCCAAAACGCAACATTTATAAACAAAAGAGGGTTAGAAAGAGGGGAAAAGATTACAAAACTGGGTTAAAATCACCACAATAAGTGGTCAAATAAACCACTTATCAGCTGAGCAAATTTAGCAGAGCAGAGCAAAGCAGATCAAATTTCAACAGACCAGAGCAGCTCAAAAGAACAGGACCTTATTGGTTATTTAAAAAAAATCCCTTCTAAATCATTGTTATTAGTTTTAAATCCCTTCTACATGGTTTTTTTGAGCAAAAAAAAAAAAAAACTCTTCTACATCATTGTTTTTTACGGTCTCTAAAAAAAATTAAAAAAATAAATAAATAAATAAACAAAAAATTACTCCGTATATATAAAGAAAACAACCTACCTCATACTGGATATCACATCATTTTAAATGTTCTGATTTCTGACACACACTCGTGAGGCTAAGTTGGAGTTATAAATTCAAATCTAACTTATGCAAAGCTTGTAATAAATTTTAGCAAACCATCATTAATACGGAGTAATCTCTAAGAGTACTCAACTACAGTAGCTTTCAATGCCCTCCAATAGAAGATGTGAAAGCGAATATTATCAAAATAAATTCCTATGATTGAATGGAATCAACTGTGAAAGACCAACCATTCACAATCTTAATGAAGGTTTTCTTTCAAAATTTATTATCTCTATTGGTGCATTTTTCTTATTGTATTTTTAAAGGATCCAGGAGATAAAACTCTGGTTCCACCACTGACCTGTAACCTCTCATAGCGGTCGTAAGGAGGCAGTCCAACTTAATCTGTGGTTTATACACACGGGTGTACAGTGCTCATCATACACCCGGATAAATAAAAAAAAGGCGGAAAGAACATCCTGTGTTTCATAAAGAACATACATGTATTTGACAAAGAACATGGTTGTATTTGACAAAAACATGCATTACCAAAGAACATAAAGATATAATAAAAAGAACGAGATAAAAGCTTGATAAAATTTTCTGAAAAATTACACATTATTAACGGGAAAAATTTAGAAGTGATAAATAATCGAGTAGGGCCGGGCCATATCATAATTTCTCGTGCTCAAACCCGTAGAAAAGTAGCGGGTTTTCGGGCTTTTTTCGAACCCGGATCGAGTTTTAACTAAAAATGCATTTTTAGATTTGCCCAAACCCACCCTGTTTCGGGCCGGATCGGGTCGGGATGTGAGTCATGCCAATGTTGATCACCTCTTAAAAAATCCTTACCAAAGATATCATTTCCCCAAAAAATAGTTTTCTATTTCTCCAAAAAAAAATTCAACTTCCCATAATAATTTAGTTTTTTTTACTCTAACATTATTTTCAATTAAAAATAATTTAAGATTTCAATATCAAATTTCAAAATACCAAATGTTAAAAAGAACATAATTTATATTGTAAAGTACATATAGTTAATACCTAAATAACACACTAATCAAACTCAAAGAATGTGCGATAATAAAAGTAATTTAAATATGACATGATAATAAAAAATAGAATTTGGGCGTCACTACGACCTTAAAGAACATACACGCCAAATTCAAAGAACATACTTTGTATTATTAAACCCAAAAATAAATATGTTTATCAACATATGTTAAATAACATAAGTTATAATGTAAAGAACATATAATTTTACTCAAAGAACACACTGATCACACTCAAATAACATATTAAAGGTATGTTCTTTGTCAAACATAGGTATGTTCTTTATCAAACACTATATGTTCTTTCCGCCTTTTTTTGTTTACCCGGGTGCACCATGAGCATGGTGCACCCGGGTGTATTATCTAATTTTCAGTCCAGCTGTTTACCCTGCCCTCCAAAACACCACTATTCTCATCTAAAGTTTCTTACCTTACCTTACTGTATTACTCGTGCTTTGTAGTATTCTGTACACCATTTGTTTTCAACTTTGTCCATGAAAAGTAACCATATCTGCTATTTACGTTGAATTCAGAGTTTCTGGAGCTCAAAGAGATTATGTATTAGTGTATACTTACAAACGCTTATAGGTTATATAACCTACAGTATAATGGAAAGAAAAACGATGTAAAAGAAGCGTCACCTGAAAAAGGGAAAAAAAAAAAAAAGAAAGAAAAAAAATGTTCAACACTCCAATCAGTCAGTATAAGACACATATCCTATCAGTATAGTTCATAGTCCTCAAGGTATGTACAGGTAAAAGAAAATTGTGGGCAGTAGCAGTACTCAATTACTCATAGAGGCTTCAAGAGGGGGTAATCTTCAAGTAATTCTCTCTCTGACAATGTATCATTTTCATTCTGAGGAGTCCAAAGAACCTCCACTGCCTGCAAGGGTTTTAACATCTTTTAAAGATACGCCAAAGACGATGTAACAATAAATCAGATAAGCAGAATTTGTTCCCCCAGAACTTGCTCTTACTTCCTTTTTTGCAAATTATCTACTTGTCTTCAAATTTGAACAGATTGAAAGAAAATTAAGCAGGATTACTTACCATAGTTTTACTTGACGGGATGGATCCAAGCTTTTGCAGGGCTTCTTTCAAATCCAAGCTCCCATTAATGGTAGGCATTTTAACTACTCCTTCAGCAGCCACCAAAATGGTAATCTGAACAAATATTGACATTGGCATTACAGAAATAAAATCTCGAGTAATAAAGTACAAGATTAAATCAAAATGAAGATTCATTAGACTCCAGCAAGTACCCTTTCAATTTGCAGTGGCGAAAGGGAACTAAGTAAAACAAAGTTCAAAATCAAATGACAAGAATGTAGCAATAGCCAGCCATGCTATGAATAGGATGCCATACTTACCAGCAGAGCCGAAATAGACTTAAAGCTGCAGAAAACTAGAATAAGGGAAAGATCTCCTCTGTTGGTGATTGCTAAATCAAAGTTAAATGACAGTTTTTACCAAACTTTAGTCACTGTACAAACCACCGACAAATTGTTTTATCAAACATCTTTATTAACTCAAACAAAAAAACTGCCCACTAACATGATGGCAATCAATTGTAGGCTAGTTCACTTGGCTTATTTGGCAACGGTTTGAATCAGCTATTGATACAAACAACCCATGACCATAGTGGCAATCAATTGTACAATGCCGGTCAACTATTTGCATTAGCCATTAATAAAAATGTTTCGTAGAAAATCAATTGCTGGTTGTTAGATCTTAGATGTTACTATGTAGTAGTAAGCAACTTGTACACTTTTAGCTAAAAAAAGTGCCAAAGAGCTGCTCTTGACAGCTTATTCATCTTGGCTCATTGAAAAACCATTTACCAAACATTTTTTTTTAATTGATGGACCAAAATATCACACTAATAACCAACGAAAAAGCCACATCAGAAACAAAAGTAAGAGAAAATGCTAATCCATCCCCCCGGGGCAGAGTTACTCAATCAACAAGAGCAAGCAATTACTATATTCAGCATAAGAAGTTATCTAATGATTACCACTATGTACTCGTTGCTATATCCACTGGCTCTCGTGCTTTTGGTGCTCTGCCTCTTTAAGTTATTCACATTTACGAGTGTTTCTTCATCAAATTTACCACGTTCCTCAATGGAAAGTTGATTGAACCTCTTTTCTCCCTCCTCGATACTCTTTTTGATGTCAACCTGGTGATTGTCAAATTGAACATATCAATTACCCATTTTATAAAAAATAAGCAAAGTAGCATCAATAGGTGAGGTCACGAAAAATGCTGCATTAAGGGAAACATAAAGCAAAAAAAGTGCTAAAAAAGTAATACCTTGTCATTAATCTGAATAACAAAATAATAATCAGTTATAATATACTAAGGGCAAACCGGCAAAGTAATCCAAATCCCATCCAATCCCAGCCCCAACAAAACCACGAAAAGGAAAAAGAAAAAGAGAAAGGGAGAGCTTACTCCTCTTTTTACCTCTATCACAAACACCTCCCTACAGTTTATGGGCCTATGAGACCCACAGCAGTTTGGATCAATTATTATTATTAAAATCCCGATTTAAATCTTAGAATCTTACGATTTTACGATTCATGTATGTCACACGATTCGATTTACGATGCTATCCGATTTTACATATTTCTCTTAACTAGCAAAATCCTTACAAGTTTAAAACAGGCCTATATAGCTATTTATAAATATATATTGTCAATTATTGGTTGCTTAATGTGTAAACAACTATTTTCTATCAATAATTAGGTTTCAAACTCATAATTTAAATATATTTAACTAAATTTAGATATCACGTCTTGATTATGCATGTCGGTAGAATCTTACGATTCTACGATTCAATTTTACGATTCAATTTTGATAGCTCCTTCCGATTCAAAGTAGAATCCCGATTTTAATAACTTTGTCATCAAAGGAAAGCCTTAAATAGGTGCTTCAACAAATTTTGAAGTTGTATATCATAAGCAAATTGGAAGAAACCATGAGCCATCAGGAAATCATTTTAGGGGTAATAGACTAATTTCCTGTCAGATATCCTTTGTTGACAGAAGAGAAGCTCTGGATGCTGATGGTTGTGAATTAAGTCATACACCTACATCCAAAATGGCTTTAACATATCATCATCCAACAACTCTAGATAATAACATCTATTTACTCTCCCTTTTCAATTAATCAGGGTCAATGAAAGGGGTATGAATAGCCAGCAAGCAGGATCACCTTTCCCATGGTCAGGAAGGCCTTAGGATGAACGGTTAAATAAGAAGTTCAGAACAAATCTTCATCCCAGGGGCCAATATTTCAAAGTAGTAATTCATAGCATGGAAAATTTCTGAGCATATACGACTAAGCGATAAGATATAGTTGTGCGCACAGAGTCAACTTGGTGGGAATGTAATTCTGATTGTCTTCCTGCTCTAGAGAGTTTCTCTAATATTGAACCAATTACCATATTAAAGCTCCTCATGAAGATACATTTCAGTGATTTCACCAAAAGTCTTTGATGAAAATTGAACAACAATGAACAATGTTAAAGTCTTATTCCTGATATGATGGGGCTACCCACATGAGCCAAGAAATTTAGCTTCAGTGATTGACAACATCAATACTCCCCCTTCATTTATCAAGTGCTATACACTTCTCTAAACCTAATTTCCTCAAATCATTCTTAACTCTCACCAATTAAGTCATCTTTGGTCTCCCTCAGCTGGTTTAAAATCCCCATAACCCAACTGTCCATTTTCTTAGTTTCTTATCGGTGCATCTTCTTGGTAAATGCTACACAAGCTCAAATCCACATGGATGACTCTCTCTTATTTTAGCCTCAAAGCCCTCAATGGTAACAACTCCAACCTTTTCCCATAAGTCTAAATTATATCCGTTAAGTTGTTCACACAAATTATTTGAACAAACAAATCTCAAATATTCCTAATGGCCAACATTCCAACACATAGAACTACAATGGTCTAATAGCCGGCCTATAGAACTTTCCTTATAACCTCAGAGGTGCTACCATCACGCAATATCCCAATTGTTGCTCTCAAATTGATCCATCCAGACTTAATTCAGTTAGTGGCATCTGGTTTAAAACTGAAACTCACTTTTGGTGAGCTACATACAGCTAACAAACTTATTATCTTGAAAGTTTCCATGAGATGAAATTGTGCAGTAGTGTACTAGTATAAAGCAACCCAAGTCTATGGCTTATGCACTTAAGCATTGTTCATTACCTCAAAAAATATTTTCAGGAGTCATAAATTTGAGTAAGTTCAGACTTCAGGTAAAAAACCAATTTATAACAAGTTCAGGGTAAGTTCAAAAGGCTTTGAGTTGGGGAAAAAAAAAACCCCCAAAGCCTTATATCCTTGTAATTGATCAAGATACTAGTGCATACCCACCTTAATGATGATCTCTAATCCCATTCCCTAAGAAAAAAGGGATACAAGACAGTGGAAGTAATCACCAGTCTTTCTCTTTTTCAGACACATTAGCAGGACTTGCATATCAATTCAATGGTATTCAGCTTCAGCTATCAAATTTAGGGTGAAAGAACTGTAGGCCAAAGGAAGCATAAACAAGAAAGATAAGCTGAGTAACCAGCCAGCCTAAATAAAGAGTGAAAGTAGAAAGATGTCTCTCAACTTACAAAATCTTTTGATCAACAGTCAGATATCTATTCAAAGCAGTAACTAAAGCAAAATACCCTTCCTGTCACACTCCTTTGATTTCACACCGGAATGACTAAACTTTATTCTATGGAAACATACCATATGATGCAGTATTCCCACTGCTCCCTCTCTTTTTACTAATTCTAGCCTCATATAACCAGGTCTGACATGTAACATCCACTCACCAACTAGTAATTAAAAGATGGTGACCCACAAGCTTCTACAATATACGAATTAGTCAGCCATTCTTGATACCAATTCTGGTCCTTTCTATCTACTCCCTTGGTCCCTGTTCATGAAGAAGTGGGAAGCTGATTTCACTATCATCAACGAACCTTACAAGGACATTAGTGATGGAATGGTGTATGAATTATAGAGTATCTGGCAGCTGATATATAGGAATGCTAGTAGCCAGTCCAATCACTAGCATTATCATATGACAAGTGTCTCCACAATGTGACCAGCACAACATCAAAGTAGGGGGACACTGTCTATTTTCTTTTTCCCAATCAATAGGTTTCTATTATTTTGCAGAAAACAAAATATTAAGATACTCGGTACTCAACAAAAAAGCATTTAGCAAAAAACATGAATGTCACAGCTTAAACTCTTCAACTATGAGAACAGAATTATAGGGAGTAAATATGAAACTAATTCTTATTATATCATATAGAAAAAATGATATCAGATATTAAATACATAAATTCTTTCAATAAATGATGTCATGACAGCATATATCAATTAAAAATAAATAACTCATCTGAGTGTAATAATTAATAATAAATAATAACGATAATAGGTTTTAATATCTGAACAGAAAATAGTTCCCAATCCAAAAGTAAATCAACTCACAGATGAATAAGCTGAGATGCAATAATCAGGATGACGAAGCAAGGCCAGCATTGTTTCTGCAAACATCAAAATTAAACAATCTTGCACGCGTAAGACAGAGTTGATATAGAAGAATAGGCTTTCAACAAAACACCCCCCCCCTCTCCACCCAAAAGAAAGAAACAAAGAACCTCCAGCTAAGTATCAGCTAAGACCTTAGATAACATGCCGCGAAGAACATAAAAGGAGAAAGCAAATACAGTAAAGCCTCCCAAGATATAGGAAGATGAAGCAAGAAGTGAACTCGATGACAGATATGATAAGCTGAAAAAAGCAAATATCTAGCAAATATATCACAAAACAAAAAGATCATTGTATTTGTTCTTTTCAAAACGGGCAAAAAGATCACAGAGTGAGCAAAGGTTTGCAGATTATTAAACTAACATGATAATATTCTGAATCATTAGAGCACTCAATAAATCCAAAATAAGTGATTCATAGTGAAAATTATATAAAATTTAACTCAATTCCATTATAACCATAGTTAAAGACTCTAGTCATTCCTCCTACTCTCCCCCCCCCCCCCCACACACACACCCAAAAAAAAAAAAAGAAAAAAGGAAAGAGAGCAAAGTAAAGAACACAATAAAAAGCTACTTATTCTATAAAGTATTCACACAAATATAATTGGAAAAAAAAAAAAAAAATTAAGAAGCTGCTAGTAAGCTGCAAATCTGAGGAATTAGTAAATATTCACAACCCACATTAGTCTACACTTATCGGCAATCATAGTTGCAACCCCTAAAGCCAGCAGTAGCTAGTTGCTATTACAAAAAAAAAAAAAAATATAATCTTCACCGCCACTGACTTAAAAAGACAATCAGGCACCCTTACCATTGCTATTCTAATCAAGCCGAAACCATTTAAACACTACACAAGTGTTGTCCTCTCAACTGCCAATAAATGAATCAACAAGGGCTATAAATTGCAAGAAGATTATACAGCAATTTCAAACCAATCCTAAGAAGGTCTAGGCAATATCATGGCTTCAAGTACCCACAGATAGGAGGCATTTACCCCCTGCTAGCTTCACTCCCTAATTTCATCTTAATAGACAACAATCACATCCCAGGCACACCATAGCAATACTAAGAAGTTATATATAATTACATGCCACAGAAGCTATACACTGCCATGGAATGAAAAATCACAATGGGACATAGTACTTTAAGCAGAGAAAGATTAATGTCAAATGAACAATAGAATGCAAGACCCACCTGTTAAAACAAAGTTTAGACCCTCTGGGGTTGATGTATCAGCAACTTCAGCAATCCGGTTGAGATCACTTTGAAGCGATCGTGCCATGCCCAACAGTCCAACCTATAAAAAATCAAAACTAATGAATAAGTAACAGCAATAATATGGACCAGAAAATTAAAATTACACATTCAATAAAGGGCTAAAGGCTATATTACAATACTTATAAACATGGTTCAATACTTCCAAAAATAGTTGAGCCAATTTTCTGCAAATAACGCATGCAAGGAGGGCCCTGTTACAATACTTAGAAACATACTTGAACACTTCAACAAATGGACATGGTGGATTCAAAAAAGGTCCAGATGCACAGTAGAGTTTTACCCCTAGCCAACTAAACCAGTAAAAAGGTTGTTTCAGGTACAAGTGAACCACAAACAACCATTTTTGAAGAATAATGATAAGCAACACAGGAATCCTATGAGCACTAAAATTAAGGTGTAATCCTATATAAGTTACATGATTTTCCAGCTCACTTCCAAAATCATAATGCTCTTGTTCTCAACTTCTCATCCCAATTACCAAGTGAAAGTATCTCAAAATTTTCAGCACTATTTGAAGAAAGCAAAAGTGCTAATCCCTCAAGCTGTACTTCAAGCCCTCCTAATCCAATTTCCAAGTTATTGAACTAAAAGATAGCAATAAACTAGTCAAGGCTACTACTCCCTGTATCCCACTTTAACAATGCCACATTCTACTTTGGGACATCCGAAAACAATAGGCCACTATTCATATGTAGTAAGCAAAACCATAATTTTTCCCATATTACTCTTACTATTATTAGGTTTAAATCTGCAGTATCTTAATAAGATGATTGTTCTCAATAGTCACAAAAGTTGTCAAGGGGATTTATGGTATATCAAGCCAATTTCATACACTGGCGGAGCCAGCGTGGGACAAGGGGGGACAGTTGTCCCCCCACTTCCAAAAAAAAAATAGTATAAATACAATATTTTGTGCATAATGTAATAGACAAAAGGAGTTAGCGCAATGGTTAAAGTAAGTTGCATGAGTTTGTACTTGTAGTCTTAGGAACTGGGTTCGATTCTTCCTGTGCGCTTTTTCTTTCCTTTATTATGACAGTACTACATTTAAATAACTATATTATTAATTGTTTGAAATCTTCAAAAATTATGAACCCCTAAACAAATAGTTTATGGAGAAAAGTGGTATACGATGTTGATTTTTTGACTAAGTACTCCGTATTTTATATTTTGAGCTGTAAAACTTTAACTATTCAAGCATATTTTTGCTCCAATATTAAACTAAGTGATGATGTTTATTTGTCCCCCCGGTTTGAAATTCCTGGCTCCGCCACTGATTTCATAAAAAGACATCGTACCAACTGGGACGGAAATAGAGTAATAAGTTAAGCATCCCAATACACCCTTGTCTAACACTAAAATGAAAATCAGGGAAATGGTACACAAAGTAAAACTCTTTACGCATTTCCTAACATCCGTAGTTGAAATTTAAATGAGTTATTTCCAAATTAGAACATAAAAAGCTATCACTAAAATATTGATCAACCTAAAAACCAAAGTAGAAACATAAATGAGTTGTTTCCAAATTAGCACGTAAAAAACTACCACTAAAATATTGATCAAACTAAAAACCAAAGTACAAAAAACACATTACCTGAAGCTTGATCACAGTAGTTCTCTCAGTAGCAGTCAAAACCCCACCATCAGACCGATCAGAAAGGAACCCAGAAACCAAAATAAATGCAGCAAATCCCATCATAATAAAAAACAAACTAGAACCAGCTCCAACCCCAAACGCCGGCCCAACATACAACCCTGCACCCCCAAATGGCGAGGGTGCGAAATACGGTACCGATTGCGAAAACCCAGGACTTGAGGGCCGAACAGAGTAGCTCTGAGATCCTGACATCGACGATCTTGAAGAAAATGATCGCCCTCCCATTCTCCCACCGGAAGCTGCAAAAGCAGAATTTGGGTCATACATTAACAAAGCACCCACTAATAAAGCTGCAATTGCAGGCTTCTTGAGCGCCTTTAAGGCCTCAGAAATCTTATCAAGAACAAACCCAATTGAATTTAGGGTCTTCTCTTTGATACCCAGCTCGGAATCGGGCGAATTCGGGTTTTTGGCGTCGCATTTGGGGGTGAATTTGAAGGGTTTTGGTGAAAATTTAGGGTTTATAGAAGGGGAAGAAAAGGGGGCTAATGAGGTTAATCGAATTGGGTAAGGACGCAAAAGAGGGGTGGATTGAGGAGAGAGAAAAGTAGGGTGTTTAGTGGTGGTTAAAGCGGAAGGTTCGAGAAGTAAGGCGGTTGCCATTGATGAAAGTTTGGATTTTGAAGGTGAAAATTTTCAATTTTTTTAAGTGTTTTAAAGGGAAAGATATTTAAAGGTGTGTTGAAGAAGATGAACCAGAGAACTGAAGTAAAGGTATTTAAAGGTGTGTTGAATAACTGAACCAGAGAATGGAAGAGTGGTGGGCTGCTGGTCATGCAAGCACCAAAAATGAAAAACCTCATCCTATTTTGGATTTTAGATTATACTTGTAAAAGTAATTATAATTTAATTTAAAATTAATTTGATAGCCTAATTGCAGGTGACTTTTCTGAGGAGCACGTGGGATGTGGTGTGATCTTGAAATTAGAAATTGGAGTAACAACTGCTGTATTATTGTTTATAGATTAATGGTAATTTATGGTCAAATTTTTCAAAGTTTGACCCAAAAAATGGCAATGGAGCAAAAATAAAGGGACGGAGGGAATAACAACTAACAAGTAATTGCGTTACTCACTAGTCTAATTTATCGAGGGTCTAAATTCTCTAAGAAAAACTTTGTAGTAGTGATAGTGAAATTCTACTCATCATAATAAATATTTTTTTATGCTTCTATTAGTAGTGGGTAATCTATCCAGTGGGTTGATATAGCTATGCCTGCTTTTCAAAATGCTTATTTAGGAAATTGAGCTTCGTCCTTGAATTTTGTAATTTAAGCCTTATTCTATTCACTTTAAAATAATACTCCATAATATTCAATAAAAATAATTTTAATTCAATAAAAATATAATTTTCTTTTGACATGTAGTAAAAATAATTTTATTTCACTTAAGTATAAATAAATTTTATTTAGTAATATTCGGTAACTTCAAAGAACAAATATAATTGAGAATCAGTAAAAAATTTGTAAGTTTTAATCAGCAAAAATAATTTCATTCAACAAGAATAATGGTTCGAGATTTGACAAACTATATTTTTGTATGCTATTGAACTCAATAGACTTGGTCAAATACAAATCTGCTAGAAAGGGTCGAGCTTTGTTTAAAAATTACCAATTCATGTCAAGTACAGCCATAGCATATTAGCATTGGTAATGGTTGGTTCTTTAAAATACTACATAGGGGAGAGAGGGGGAGGGGGATAATTTTATTGCAATTTTTGAAACACGATTATAGAACTACTAGATAGCGGATTTCTATAAATAAAGAGAAATATATACTTCGTACAAAGTAAATTAAAAATGTCTAGTTGTACATGAAGCGGGTAACGGATGAAGCGAATGATGAGTCGAATCGGATGTGGATGATACTCTACTTCACCCACTAATCATCCACCCACCCGTTTAACATATATATTTAATTTTTTATCTAAGAGTTTTAATAATGAAATATGTTGTTATTGTTTCCTTTTTTATTAATATATAAAAAACTATTGTATAAATCACCGAAAATTAGAATTATGTGGATTTTTTTTTTCAATTTCAATACTTATCTATTAGTCATCCGCTCCACCTGTTTCATCCGCGGATGACGGACGGACGGATATGAATGATGAGTAAAGCGGGTGACCGATGGATATGGATGGAGTGATTGGAATAATGGATGGATGCAAGTGAGGCTCCATCTGATCCGAATCCGATCCATTGCCATCCGTCTCATCATGGATAGCTAACTTTTCAATTCATCTCTCCAAGATAGCATTTCACATCGACATACAGAAATATTAAGCGTCTTCAAGAATCATTAATGGTGATAGCAGAGTTTTCTTCATTCTCCTCCATATGTCCTGCTCCCCAAAAACGAGCAACAGTGACGTTCACAAATCTTTTATTATGATCAACGTGGATAAAATTCCAGTCAAAAGCCATCTAGATTAGCTTTCCAAATTTCAACAGAAGGATACATATTTTCTGCCAAAAAATGCTTATACTCAAGAAAACTCGCTCCTATAGCTTCTACGGACTTACAAAAGAAAACGTATTGCCTTAGTGAGTTGGCATGATTGGCATGATAGTATTCCATCTGTCTTCTTCATCAGGTAGCCATCTTGTAGTTGGTACAAGTAATCATCTTCAAGACTGCTTCATCCTCACTTGTGACAATAAAGGTCAAGTGTGCTGATGGTTGATGAACAATGCAGGCTTAATAACCCATATCACCAAAATTCAAATGGCAGGATGACACACATTTTTGCATTTTGCTTGTCAAAATACACTAGAACTGCAGGATGTCATTCACACCCTAATTCTATACCAATTTCATGTATAATTTAGATCTCTTGAAGTTTGACACAATTTGAAGCACACATCCTGCACTTGACATGCAGAAAACAAATTGAGTTGCTTAAATTGCTTAGGACATAGGAATAAGAGACTAATTACAACAGGATAGATGGGTAAAGATCTGCAAAAACTGCTGTCCAGAAATTGTATTGGAGAGAGAGAGATCTTGCTAAATTACCAGAAGGTTATAAGAAGTTGCTCAAAAGTATCACATTTATGGACAGGAAGACTCCCAAATGCAGCTACCCTTGCGAAGTCTGACTGTGTGAAACTTTTTTTTAGCTGATAATCATCTCTACTCAGCAAGGGATCCTGGTCAGTCTTTTCTGGGAATTGTCAGAAGATGGCCTATTTCCCCCTGATGCCTGTTGCCTTTTGATCTTGGTTATTGTCCTCCATGCCAGAAAAGTCTTTGGCAAGATCTGTCTGAAAGTCTTAAAGCTCTGCGTGTAAACGATCATTTATATTATTTAAAACTTTCATATAGTGATCAAGACTAAAAAAAACAGTTCTTTAAAAAAAAAATAAGCAGCAGCCTGAAGTAAAAGTAGGTGATCAGCGTAGATCTGATAGCTATGATGTCCATTGATGTGATAACTACGAAACTATGATGTACATATAAAAAAGTAGGCATAAAGGAGAAAATGGTTGAATTCGTTTAGGCTATCAAATGATTATTCTTGGGTTCACACACAAAGTCAGTGAGGTAGTGGTCATGCATAACAATGCAACACTCAGGTAGGATATATTCTACAAACAATCTGCGTCACACAATCAGATTGACAAGTTGGAGTAAATAATTATAACGTAAGATAAGAAAATTCTGCATATGGCAGGCTGTGGTTCCAGTTGTAAGGATATTTTAAACATACCTTGTTTGCTTCCAAATCCTGTTTGATGAAGATTTTCTGATCAACGTTGCTGACATCGATCAATGAATCAACTCGAGAGAACTATTTGATAGGTGTGGGTCCTGTTTTTCAAACCAGAGAAAGCAAAGCTATTAGGGTTATCCTTGCTGCTCCATTCCCAATCTTTCAATTCAGGATAATGCTCTATATTGTGCAATAAAGGATCTCACATGTCCTTGTGAAGCAAGAAGAAAATAGAGGAAGAGAGTATATCCCACTCCTACAGCAAGAAATGGATGCACTTGGGTGCGAGGCCAATAAGGACGCTTGATGTTGAGGCAGTACTGCCAGCTGAAGTCAAGGCTTCGTTGCAACTTAGGACAATGGATTTCCATGGTAGAGATTAACAGTCTCTTGTACCCTTTCCTTTAATAAGTTCATAAGCTTACAGGCTCTAGTATTTGAAGAGCATAGCTACATGTTACAATTTCCTCTGACGAAGAAACAAGAGGTATGACAATCTTACTTTCTATTGCTTCCAAGACCTTGATTGAACCCTAAAATTGGCACCAATTGTATATCAAGAAAAGGTACATCTCATTTACACTTAAATCAAATATACAAATCTGTATGTATCATCAGACAAGAGTCAACTGCAGAACATGCAGCACCATCTACATTGAGGATCAGCTTGGTGAAAGGTGTGAAGCTATCATACAGCAATGTCAGATACATCCAATGGTAGATGCATCAAACTAACAATCAAAGAACTTTTAGAAGTTTGATATCCTCTGTAATTAAGCACACATCCTTCATACAGAGCCCACTACCATAATATTGAAGACTCCAGTAAATAGCAGCAGAAGACTGGAATTAACAAAATTGATCAAGCTTTCCTTTCGAGTATCATCGTGGTGTAATAATTAAGTAGTAGCAATTATTTCCTTTGAACCATTTCCTCAGAAGGTAGCCACTTTAAACCCTGGATAAGTCATTAGAATCAACAATTGTCACAAACAAGGTCCAATGAGCTATACACCAAAAGAAAAAAAGCAAAAACACACACACACACACACACACACATCTGAAAAATAAGGACCAGAGGTAAATATTATGAAGCTGCAACTCTACATGGACAAAAATTATCCACAGATACAGAATTACTAGGTCTCAGACTGGTCATTTTTTAGAAATTATGCATCTCTGACCAAAGTTGAAAGATCCAGGTGGCCAAACACTTCTTGGAGTATTAAGTTTTTGAGTATCTGACATGGGCACTTAAGTTGATCAAAAGGTATGTAAAATATGCCATCAAAGGGTACGACAGACAACTAGAGCTGTCTCTGCATTGTCAGATGTCACTCTAAATTGACAAATCAGCTACTAAGCAATCAGTAACAATTTAAAATTCATCATAGAAAAACGACCTTGAATACAAATTTGTAAGGTCAACTATAGAATTGAGGTGCCTTGAAGTTCAGGGATATTTGGAAAAGTTGCCATATACCAGCAATTAAGGGCTCATTTGGCATAATTATCAGTTTAAAATTTTTGGTTTTATGATTTTGAAAGTCACAAGATCTAAATAGAATTATGAACTAAAATAAGTTAACCTACAATAATCATATTGAATATAAAATCTGACAAAAAAATGATAAAGAACGGGCCCTAAGATTCACATTTGAAAAGATCCACCTTTAAAAACAGGAAAATTTGTCATAAAAGACCTTTTATGTCTTTTGTGAGAAAGGATTTTTTAAAAAAAGGTGGCCAAAAAGGACCTTTTATGTGTTTTTGGTTGTGAAATGGGACCTTACACTAAAAACATATATGCCTCTGTGGTTTTGTCCATAAGTGTCTTTCTTCTTAATAGTAAGGTTCAGGCAATAACTTCAAAAAATAAATATTTAAAAGATGTAAAAAAAATTAGATACTTAAGAAGTCTAACCAATCAAGCCACTTTAGCAAGTGGAACCAAAAAGTAGCAACTTCTCAACATTCTTTAAGCACAAAGAGATAATTACAAATGCACCAAAAAGGGTAAGAAAAGGAGAGAAGATACAAACCATCAGGCATGTGCTATGCGAAATTTGAAGAGCTTCTTCCCAGCGATTTAATTTGATGAGCCCAATGATAAGGTGGAAAAATACACTTGGCTCTGGAACCCCTCTATTCCTTGTCATGTCAGCAAACAACTCAAAACCTTCATCAACTTTGGATGCAAGACACAAACTCTCAATCAGTGAGGAATAAACATGAGCCACTGTATGAATGGGGGCAAATGATGATATCTCTTTACACAATTGTACTGCTATATCCAGTCTTCCTGCCTTACAAAAGCTATCAATTAGAACTTTGTAAACAGGAGCAATAGGCACGGGCTCATTATCACTTAAAACGTCTAGGAGGCCTAGGGAGACAATGAATTCTTGGCTGAATCCCTCAATAACTTTCTGATAGCTTGCAACATGCATAGGCCAATATGTCTGCTTCATGTCCTCCAGAAGGTCGTGAGCCTTATCTAGAAGGCCAAAAGAGCAACAGTGATTTATCAAAACCCTATAGGTCACATAATTTGGAGCACATCCCTTCTCATGCATCAAGTTGAATAGCTCAAGGCATCTCTCAATTTTACCAGCTTTCCCAAACCCATCAATCATTGCAGTATAAGTAACAACATTCGGACTGCAACCCTTTTCATCCATCATCTGCATAAGCTTATAAGCCTCACCAGTCTTTAGTAATTTACACAACCCATCAATCATCTCAGTGTAAATCACAACATTAGGGGCGCAATCACTTTCCAGCATTTTCGATAAGATCGTTAAAGCAAGATCCATCCTTTTATCTTTTAACATCTTGTCAATAAAAGAGGCATAAGTGTATATGTCAGGACTGTATCCACGTTCAGACATTTTAGTTAATATCTCTTGCGCTTTATCAAGCTCCCCCACCTTGCAAAATCCATCAATCAAGGCGTCATAGACAATGTTATTTGGTTCACAACCATCAGCAAACATTGCATCCAGTAAGTTGTGAGCATCTTTTACCTTGTGTGCTTTGCACAACCCATCTACCAAGGCTCCGTAAGTGAAAACATTAGGTGCATTTACCTCAGAAAAATTTACCTTAAAATACATGTCTACATCTGGCAAATTTTCTTGTCCTCTCATCCTAGCATATATTTGGCTAGCTTTGTCAATGTTTCCAGATTTGCAGTAGCCATCTATTAAAGCAGTATAAGTCACAACATTTGGTACACATCCATCTGATAACATCATTTCAAAAAGCTCATTGGCTTCACCTATCTTGCATGCTTTAAGGTACGCATGAATTAATGTGGTGTAGGTCACCACATTAGGAGAACAACCATCTAAAACCATTTCGTTGAACCACTTACGTGCTTGGGCAATAAGACCAGCCTTACAGAACCCATCAATCAGAATAGTGTAAGTATATACATCTGGAGTAATACCTGATCTTTTCATTTCTTCAAATAGCAGAAAAGCCTTCTGAACCTGTGAATTATTGCAGAGGAATTCAATAACCTTTGAGTATGAACTGTTATCAGGCACAAAACCCTTACTCGTCATTTCTTGAATAACATTATATGCTTTGTCAAATTTCCCAGCCTCACAAAGGCATCTGGAAAAGCTGCTTACATTAACTTTGTTTAACACCAATCCCCGGTCAATCATTTCAGCATAAACTTGCTCTGCCAATTCTAAATCATATGAACTAGGTAGCTCCTCCTTACAACAAATTCCACCGATTAATATGTTATATACCAGATAGCCAGGTTGGCAACCACAATTTGCCATATTCTCAAGCAACTTGTATGCATAAAAATAGTCACTTGAAGCGCAATATGCATGAATAAGTGAATTAAATATTCTACGATTAGGGTAACATCCTTCAGCAATCATCATGCTTAATATTTTCTTACACCTACCCAGCTTCTTTTTCTTCAAACACCCACAAAGCAAAACCCTGTATGTTACTACATTGGGCAATGAAGAGCTGCATCTCATTTTGTTCAAAATATCTATGGCTTCATCAAAAAGAGAAGCTTCACATAAACCAGATATCATTGTTGTATAAAGCTTTGTGTCGGGGACAAAGTCTTCCTTCTCTACCAAGTCCAGGGCTTCACCCCACTTTCCAGCCTTGCACAGAGCATATGCAAAAGAATTCAACGTAGAGATATCCATTTTAAACCCAACATTTGACATCTCTAAATGAAGTAGACAGGCAGTGTCTAACCTACCAGCTTCTACAAATACCTGAACAAGAGCATTATATGTTGACCTAGATGGTCTGTGACCAAAATCCTTCAGCCTTCCAAGCTCCTCCAAGGCCACATTCCACCTCCCATCACGGCAACACTTCCTGACCAGAACATTAAGCAACTTTTCCAGAACCCCCCTATCTTCGTCCTGAATATCTTGAAGAAAATGCTTGGGTATCCTATCATCCTGATCACACCCCATTACCTCCAACAATGCATCATAAACAGGAGTAGTATGACTATACCCAACTTGCTGACCAGCCCATAAGAAAAACTGAACACTCAGCTTAGGGTTTTTAATAAGCTTCATCACATCAATTAATAAAGGTTCACTCAATTTGTCCCTAAACTTCCGAAGAAAGTTTTGGGTTTTGAACTCAAATACATTGTTACTCTCATTTATTGCACCGGAAATCAATGCAGCATCAGCTGAGAAATTACCTTGCTCTGTTTCCAGCAATGAAGAATCCGAAGAACCCACAATGCAGTCACGCAATTGTGAGAATTCTTTGCTGGAAAATGTATCTTCATAATAGCTGCTTGATGTAGAGAGAGCATTAGAATCAATCAATCCTCCAGGGGTATCTGTGGAAGAATGGTTGGTGGTGCTCAAGAACTTGATGTGGGCGTAGGATAATCGAATGATACGAAAATGGCCGAAGATGAATGAATAAGGGTTTGAAGAAAACGTCAAAAGCAGTGAAGATGACTTGTTTAGAGTCAATCCCAGCAATATTTTGCTCATTCTTTGGAGGATAAGGGGCATAGAGTCATGATCACCACAATTCTGCTCAAAATTATTTCTTGGGAGCTTTGATTACACCTAAAAATTTCACAGAACTGATAAATCAAGGGGAAGAACTGAAAAATCAAATATAAATTATAAAATTCCAAAGCATATAGCATGTTACATCACTAATGTAATGAACTTAGATTCTTCCATCGTCATCGAAACCCCATTAACAATGAATTAACCTTATATGCAAAACTCCAATTCTCAACAAGATAACATTGAACAAAGCCTACTTACATGGAAATTAGAATATCACCAACAACATTTCAAAGCATATAGTAAGTATTTCGTAGCTTTGAACTTGTTACATACTACTACATGTATTCATTTCATTACCAAATTTATTATATCCTATTTTCTTCATAATTACGAAGCTATGTTAATGTCAAGCAAATTCTTCCCTCAAATGTACAAGAAACCATAAAATGTAGCAAATTTGTGGGCATTTTGAAATTTGCAAGTTACCCAGTACAAATTATAAGCTAAAAAAACAAAATCAAAACCGCAGTACACCCATTATTCCCAAAAATTTACAAGTTATTAGGAATTGAAGGAAATCTAACCTGGATTTGAAGGTCACTGGTTGAGATATATTGCAGGTTGGTTGTGGAGATGGTGGCACCGCTAAGAAGACGGAGGAACTGACGGTGATGTTGTTGTTGGAGGAAGAATCGATGGCGGCGTTGGTGGGGAAGCCGGGAGGGTTTAGTATGATTTTCAATGCGAATGAACCCATGACATTTCGGTAAATAAATCAACCACTTTACGTATTGAGGGGGTGTCTATTATTCGAATTAAATTGAAATTCAAATCCATTCAAACCGAAATATTAATTTGGGTCGGATCTGAATTTTAAATTGAATTCGAATCGACCGGATTGAATTTCTTTGGATAAAAAATTTAGATATGAAATCGTTATTTTATAAATAAGGATTGTTAATATCAATTATGTTAAAAATTAGGTTTATGATTACATCCATTCAAAAAAAAGTTTATAATTACACTAATATTAATCAACTAAAAATATGTTTTCAATACTCGTATTAATCGTGTAAAACTATGCTTTCAAAAATTGAATTTTTTATAATTGCAACGTATTTTAATTCAGATTTTCGGATCGGATTCAAATATCTAGATTCTAATTCAGATTGGATTGGATTGGATTTAGTTAGAAATTCGGATCGGATTGGATTTAATAATTGAAAACCGAAATTTATTTCGATCAGATTAGATTTGGCCTAAATCTAAATCGAAAACCGAATGGACGCTCCTATATGTAGTCATGATCAACTGTGGGGCTCGATTTTAATGAAAAATTAATTGATTTAATAACGAAAATATCATATGATAAATATAAATTGTTTATCTCAGTGATAAACTTGTATAATTGTATTTCTTGATTTTCAATTTAAAAGGTCACTTATAGGATTAAGGCGTTTAAGCATAAGCATAAGCAAAAGCTGGTTATTGTTAAGATTTTTCAATAAATTTTTTTTTTAATACAAAAGGTAAGAAAAATAAATTAGTAGAATAGTGGAATAACAGGAGTGTTGAGATGTTGTGTTGAGTTTTTTAAATGTAAACATAACATGTTATTCCACTATAATAAATTAATACATATTATTCCACATTTCCACTATAAAAAAGAAAAAAGAGGTAACAAACATGTGTTGAGTTATTTTTTAAAATAACATGTTATTCCACTATAAAAAAGAAAAAAGAGTAACAACTAACAACACAAGCATTTTAATCAATTATCCTTGCAAACAAACAGGCTGTAAAAGATGTTTGGGGCATAACTATCCTTCAATTCAACACTTTTTCTATAATTATATTCCAATTTCTGAATACTCATCTGGGAATTCTGTTCATTGTTGATCTGCATTCAAATCATGGAGTATCCTAATGGTATGTCTCTAAATTTCTTACTCTTGTTATTTTTCTTCCTCTTTTTTTTGTTTCTTTTCTTATTCTACTCATTTAAAATCCTGTTTTCCTGAAATTCAATTGGACCTAATTATTGATCAACTTTTTATTGAATTTTAGTGGGTAATGATTCTGATGTTTTATGTCAATCATATTTGACTGATTTAGTAGTCATTTGTATTTACCTGCTTTAATCAGTGATTGAAATAGCTGATTTGAGTTGATTGTTTGCTTGTCCACTCCATCTAGAAATAATCTTGAGATTCTCCCAACCTATGTGACTATCTCTATTACCCGTGTCGGATCCTCGATACTCCAACATGCATATCTCTATTGCCCGTGTTGGATCCTCAACACTCCAACATATATATTACATTTTGATATTTATTACAAGGCCAAAACCATGAAATGTTTTCACAATATAGCCCAAGTCAAACACTTAGGCACTTAGTCCAACACGAGTACTTGAGTCCGAGTAACAATGGATTCAACCTATCTTAATTAAAAGTGAGACATGTTTAATAATAGGTGGGATAATCAATTATTCTATAAAGTAGCAAAAGGATAAATCTAGATCTTGATAGTACTTGCTATACATATATACGTAGTATATAGTATTCACTATATAATTCTTGTGATCTTGTTAGTATGAAGGTTAAAATTGAGTTGAAAATTTGTATGATGATATGTATGAAGTATAATGGTAAATGTAATGTTTTCTTGTCCAATTTGGACTGTCTAAGCAGTTGTACAGGATAGAGACGAGAAATTCTTGACAAAAGCAATAGAGGAAGCTTACAAGGGGGTGGAATGCGGACATGGGCGCCCCTTTGGTGCTGTTATTGTTTGTAACGACGAAGTTGTGGTCAGCTGTCATAACATGGTGTCGATATACAAAGACCCAACTGCACACGCAGAGACCACGGCTATAAGAGAGGTTAGATTATTAGCTCTGCTACGTAATGGACCTCATCGCTTAGGACATTGACTAAAGCAAATTAGTGATATTTGTTTCTGACAGGTTTTATGGATTCGTATAATCAATGTGTGTCTATCTTCTGTGAATTCGTTCAACTGCATATCTTGTGCTATATCCACTCACGGGGCGTTTGACAACAGGGATAGGGATAACGAGGATAAGAAGGTAGGATAAGAATAGGAAACTATTAGGTGGGATAAGGATAAAAATTATTATGGTATCCATTGTTTGGAATGAGTTGTGAATTAAATTGGAATAAGTAGCAAATTTACGTAAATATCTTTACTAACTTATCTCTTCTCTTCCTTCCCTTTCAAAAAGGGTAAAGTTGTCTTTTACCTTTTAATTTTTATCCCCAAACCTTATACTTGCCCCCTTGTTATAGAAATAGAGGGATAAGCCTCTATCTTGTCCCCATCCCTTTCATATGGGGGAACTTGTATCCCCTTAAACAAACAAGGGATAATGGAACATGAGAGATTTTAAATCCTTATCCCATGAATAATCACCACAAACAAACATGCTATCAGTGTTTAAATAGAGTGGATAATTTAAAGGTTGTTGATTGCTACCATTCATCTTGAGTGTCATGACTGAGGTTCATCTTAATAGGGCTAAGAAAATACTGCAGAGTACACGATTTGATGTTTGTGGTTACTTAATTCTGCTACGTTTTTTGTCCTCATGAACTGTCCATTGCTCCAACAAGCAAACATGCCTTAAATTGACTTCTAAACAAGTTTTGGCTTTATCACATTTGTTGCTCTTGTGCTATTTCTATCATTAGAAACTTCGCGAATTTAGTTGGTAATACAAGGGGTTGATGTGCTATATAATTCTGAAGCTGTTATCCTGTAACTGTATGCTAATTTATTGAAATTTGATCATGAATATATTATTGTTCATTAGATTTTCTACACATCTTAAGTTTCAAGACATGCAATAAGTTATCTTCCCAGTGATAGGATTTGCAAGTTATCATATACTTCATTTTTTTAATTGGATTGATTATTTCAGGCATGCAATAAGTTGGATCGAATTGAGCTGTCAGATTGCGAAATGTATGCATCTTGTGAGCCATGCTCAATGTGCTTTGGCGCTATAGAGCTTTCAAGAATTAAGGTTTGTTTTAATGCCTATGAACATTACATAGTTCTGATGACTATGCCCAGATTGCTCATCTGGTCATCTTTGTAGCCTGTCATATTTCAACAATCTTATTAAGTTATTATACTAAAACAGAGGTTAATGTATGGCGCTAAAGCTGAAGCTGCCATAGCAATGGGCTATAAAGCTGCCATTTCTGATGCATTGAGGGGCACTGGAGTTAACCAAACGACTGAGATCGAGATCAAACAAGCTGATGGCAATCTAGCCATCGTTGCTGAACAAGTATTCGAAAAATTTCCTAAATCCAGTGCTTAATAATAAGTACAGCAGTCAGTCAATTTTCGAGTTTTGTAAAATGACTCCATTCCTCCACCAATGGGGAGATCGGGAGGTTTTATTTATCTTCAATGGAGATGCACAAGAATTATATAAAAGGAGTCTTTAATGGCTTTAGTTGAACAAATAAAATCAATTTCTTTATGTAAGCTTAGGCCTTTGATTAGTTTGCCTCCTCCTCCTACTAGAGATATAATTGAAATGAATGAAACTGAATGGAGCTGAACTAAACTTGACTTATTGAACAGAATTTAATGGAGCTAAATTGAATTTGATCGAGCTTAACAGAGTTGAATTGAAATGAAATTTTGAAATATACCTCCAAAAGAACATGGACTAATTTGTTTGGGAGTCTTGTTAATAACACCCTCCGTCCCAAAATAAGTGTTACATTCGACTTTTTATTATTTCCTTGGTATGATTTTGACCATTAATATGTTTAATTGCTTACTAATAAAAACTACTCACTTCGCATTATTAATATCCCATTTTTATAATTTTTGCTAGTGTGATATTAAAAAAAAAATATACGGTCAAAGATTTGCATCAATATACGTAAATGAAAATTTATAGAACAAGTCTAAACAAACCTAAAAATATCACATCTAACAATATTTTTTTAAAATTTTATTTCACTAAGTTGATTGTGATCAATAATTGAACTTTTTCCCTCAATAATGCTCAAATTTCACAAATATTGCCCTTTTTCTACATTTTACCTTAGTAGAAGAAACCAATTTTTATTGGTACACGAAAATTGAAGTAGCATTTTTTCATACTTGAAAACCTTTACTTGAAGTAATGGTTATCTGGTTTATATACTGCTACTTCAAGTAGCGGTTATTGCTGTAAATTTTTCTGTATTTTCATTTCGTTTTCAACAGATTGAGCAAGAGAATTAAAACGCGTTATCTTTCAAAAAAAAAAAATTATATATATATGGCTTGAAAATTATGAAAAAAAATCTCCTCGGACCCATGAATAGTAGAGTGGAAAAAGGAAAAAAGAGATTGTATTTGTGGAATAGGATAATTTATCAGCATTATTAAGGATAACATTCCCAATAAATTAAGGTCCAGCAAATTGTTTGACAAATGCTCCATTCGGGAAATAATTGTGTCAATTCCATTCCACACTTTCTCCAACAATTCTGGACACACATCTTGGAATTTTTTTTTTTTTTTTTTCAGCTCATCTTGGAATTTTACTCATTCTTAATCTCAATTCAATTCATGGTGGATGCTAATGGTATGTCTCTATTATTCTTCTCCTATGATCCCATTTTGCCTGAATTAATTTCAATTTGACCTGGTTGACTATATTTTAATTGATTAAGTTATTTGTATTCACTTAATTACTTGCACTAGTATTTTATTTTTTCATGATCCAAAGTTAGTTGTTACTCAGACTCTATACTTTGTTTCAAGTACGTGCGTCAGTGCGTATACAATTAGTATTGAACATATTATATGTTAAGATTCTTACTGCAAATTACATAATTCATGTACTAATGTCAAAATAATCTTGATTTGAATATTTATTCATTGTGATTTAACCCAGTCTAATGGCAGTGGTCTTTTTCCCCTCTTACTATTTGCTCAACTTTAGGAATTTCCCCTGTCCATCACCGATTTTAGCTTCTACGCATCACTTAGGTCCCGTTTGATTTGATGTAAAATGTTTTCATGGAAAATGATTTTCCCATTATGTTACATTTTCCTATGTTTGGTTTGTGAAGGAGCGTAAAATAGTTTTCCCAATGGTGGAAAATTGCATCCATAGTGAAAAACATTTTCCTTTCCAAAACAAGAGAAGCCATATTTTCCTCCCTTCTCCTTATTTCCATTTCACTTTCCTCTCATCCATCCCCACATTTTTACTCCTATTTTAATTTCTCTTTAACTTTTCTTGTAAAAACCAAACAAAAGAAAACTATCTTGCAAATGTGGTTTTCCTTGAATATATGTTTGTCATTAACACCGATTGGTTTGTTGTAAAACATTTTCAATGAAAAATTAGTTTTCACGGAAAATATATTTTCAAGAATAAGCACAATTGCAAATTAGTTTTTCTTTGTTTGGTTGCATACAAGAAAGTTCAAGAAAAATAAAAGATAGGAGAGGGAATGTGAGGAAGGATGAAAGGGAAGTGAAAAAAAGGAGGTAAGGAGGAGGGAGGAAATTGTGGTTTTTCTTGTTATGTAAAGGAAATAGTTTTCCATCATTAAGGATGTGAAAATTGTTTACCACCCCTTCACAAACCAAACAAAGGAAAATGGGAAAATCATTATTTATGAAAACATTTTACATCAAACCAAACGGGGCCTTAATGAAATACTGGAGTAATAGCATAAAGAAGAAATCTAATTATAAACCATTAATATATTTTGGGCGGAAGGAGTACAAGTCATTTTGCTTACATTCAAATAAGCAACAAGCCCTTTATGTTATAGTACCTACATACTATATACTCCCTTTGTCCCTAATTGTTTGCTCTTTAAACATAGTTTACTTTATCATGTGCAGGTTGAGTGGAACTGATGAAAAAGAAAAGTTTTGGGACCTAAATAATTTTTATGAGAGAAAAGTGGTGGTCCCTATGTACATTTGTTGTATGGAGCAATTTTTATAATAAGAGAAGTCTTAGAAAGGAAAATAGAGCAAACAAATAGGGACGGATGTAGTAATGCTGCTAATTATAAGGTTCCCTTCTAGTATTTGGACTGTACTCACAGCAATTCTGTTTTCATCTTATAGCATCACTTAATTGAATAGTAACATAAGAGGAAATCAAATCATAAACCGTTACTATGATATAATTGTATTTTTGGACGAAGGGAGTTAAGTTATTCTGCCTTTTGTGTAATAGTACCCACTATATGACTTACTGCTATTTATATTGTTTCCTTCTCATATTTGGACTGTCTAAACAGCTATACAAGATAGAGATGACAAACTGTTGACAAAAGCAATTGAAGAAGCTTATAAGGGAGTTCAATGTGGACATGGGGCTCCTTTTGGTGCTGTTATTGTTTGTAATGATCAAGTAATTAACAGCTGTCACAACATGTCGCGGAAGTACAATGACCCAACTGCACACGCAGAGGTCATAGCCATAAGAGAGGTTAGATTACTAGATTCGTAGTTATTTGTGTTTGCATTAATTTGCTACATACAGAATGGAACTCATTGCTTAGGATATTGATTTACTGCAACAAGTACTATATGTTTAGGAGAAGTTTTGATATAAAACATAATTTTTTTAGCTTTGTTATACGGTCTCTTAATATTTGTTTAGGAAAAGTTTCGATTTATTTCTTTGTGAATAAGATCAACTGCATCTCTTGTACTTCAATTCTTACATTTCTTCCAGGGTTGTTGAATAGAGTTGACAGTTTCGAGTTTGCTATGCATGAAGTTGTTTACTGTATCTTGAATGACAAGCTAGGGCATGCTCAGGTTCCTTTTGCCTTAGAATTTGATATTATTTGAGCTTAATTTATCTCTATCTTTCTGTTTAGTTAAAGAAGCTTTAGTTACACCTGACACTTCTCAAATTTAGTTGCTGATTCTGTGATTAATGTGTTATTTCATTCGGCAGTTGTTAGCCTAAATGCTATCTTATTGCAATTTGATCAAGAAATTATAGTTTTCCTCTGCACTTTCTACTTATCTTTAAAATATACTTGTATAAGTCTAAAACAACCTTATGGTTATATTATAATTCTTATCATTCTTCCATCTTGGTTGGCTAATGCTGTAATAGTTTAAAACTGAAGTTTTGTGATAAGGGAATTCATAAACCATATTGGGCAATCCATTTTGGTTGGCTAATGCTGTAATACTCAGGGTTCTTTTTCTGAGTAGTTTGGAAATGTGTAACCATATGGTTGTACAAAGTAGTGAAACGGAGACTAGTAGTTGATTATAATCCAGAGTTCAGATGATTCTTTGAGGCCTCGTTTGGAATAGTTTTGGTTATCAGTTCCTGGTTTAAGTTTCTGTCATCTATATTAAGCCTTGTTTCAGGTTTTTTTTTCTTAAATCATTTCCGGTTGACTGTATATCTTATTAGGAGGCAATCTGTAATGTTTTTTCATTATGGGAATTCTATGAGTCAGTCTCTTCACTTTGTTGCTAGTCTGCTTCAAATAAGTGTAACCAAGTGAATCCTCTGCTAGTTGTATTTGTTTTCAGTTGTGACCTCCCTTTTTGGCATCTCTTTGTCCTCTGACAAACCCGGAAAAAATATCAGTGAGCTGTTCTGACTAAAAGATGCCACAGTCGAAAATTTCTTTGGTGTTCTATTAGTCAGTCTGTAGCAGGGATATCAGTCCATTTTAAGAAATCACTTAGAAAAAAGCATGTGTGGTGAAGCACCTACATCCATTGGGGCGGTCTCAAATACTTTACGTCGAGTATATACCTTTCAATTAGGACTAGACAGACAATGTTTAGGTAGGACACTAGATAATGATTGTGATTTGAGGCCAAAAATCAAGTTTGCTTCAATTTTTCCAGCAGTATAAGTGTACTTAATGGTCTTTGAGGCTGAGACGTTTTATTTTCGATGATACCAAATTTTGCACATTATAGGTGTCACGTAAAATATATCATCAGACTATGTAGATATATTAGTCACATCCAACTACAATATATATTCCTTGATCATCAAATACTTTATTGGTTTTTTTTTTTCACAAGATTGGTTTTTTCAGGCATGTAATAAACTCAATCGAACTGAGTTGTCAGATTGTAACATGTATGCATCTTGTGAGCCATGTTCAATGTGCTTTAGCGCAATACAGATTTCAGGAATTAAGGTTTGTAATGATGTTTATGAATACTACTTATTTCTTATCTTTGTACTTGATTATAATGTTTCAAACACTTACATTTTATTAACAGAGAGTAATGTATGGAGCTAAAGCTGACACTGCTAGAGCTATGGGTTATAGATCTCCCATTTCTGATGCATTGAGGGGCACCGGAGTTTATCAAACAGCAGCTGATCTCGAGATCAAACAAGCTAACCATAATCTGGTTATAATCGCCGAGGAAATATTTGAGAAATTTCCTAAATCTAGTGCTTAAGAAAATAAAAATACATCAATCAATCAATGCTTGGATTTGTGGATTTGTACAAATTATTCCAAACCACCTGATCCCATGAAAACACATTTATGTAGGAAGGCATAACCATGGAATGATTTGTAATATATTAGATTAGTGGTGCAATGTTATATTTAAAGGTTGGTGATCTTCATAGCCGTTACTGTTATGTCAATTTTGATGATCCTTCCCCGCGCTCTCCTATTCCGCTAATTCTTAACTTCTATTTCAATTTGTTGTTATTGATTGGGGTTCGATTATATTGAATTTTTTGTAAAATGATATTGGTGGATAATGTTGCGTGTGGTCACTCAAATTGGTGGCTGCTGTCGGTGTGAGAATTGGTGGAGAGGTGATTGCGACAGTTCGCAGCCTTGGTGGAAGGGCAGCGATTTAGGAGGGGGAAATTGCTGCTGTGCGCGGCGGGTGGAGCAGCGATTTTAGAAAGAACTGGGTGGGCTTTATGGAGTTGGTCCGAGTATCTTTGGAGATTTTAAACATTACTTCGTATGTGGTTTGAGAATGAACTAGATGCTTTCTGTTATGAGCAATTATAATACTGGTTTAGTTGTACATGCAACATTATGCCCACCCCAAAATTGGTGCGTGAGGGAGGTGTTGAGAAACCGCTAAGCGGTTGCGGTTAGGTGGTGATGGAGTAGTGGTGGAGATTGAGAGGTGGCTAGTTGGCTACTGTGATTGTTAATGTCATATATTAGAATATTATTGTCATATATTAGAATATTAGATTATTTATGTCATATATTATATTATTAATGTCTTATATTAGAATATTATTGTTAGATATTATAATATTAGTGTAAGATATTACTCATATTAGAATATTATTGTCAGATATTAAAATATTATTGTCAGACATATTGAACTTACGGTGAGTCCGGTCTCACGCAAAACTTTCTCTAGTGTAAAAGACACTTAAATTGGCATTGTTTGTGTTAATTTATCTTCCTTCCTACATTTACCTCTAAATATCTTAAATTGCTTATAGACATTATCATACTAGCATTAGATTCATACATTCTCACAAAGACACAAAATCTACCTTTAACTTAATTATTAGAAAATACGAAGTGCAAGTTTATCACCTTTATAAACAATATGTGTTTATCAAGTAGCAAAAGTGAAATAAAAAAAAACCTAATTACTTTTTATGAAAAACAGGCCTATAAATATTGATATAATTAAAAAATGTCATGCTGTGTAGACTTTTTTGTTGATTTATTTACCATTTTGCCATTTTAGGTGATAAATAAGGGATTCATCCTTTAACAATCTGATTATCTTTAAGGTTAGGGCTCGTTTAGTTTACCTTATTTTTGCTTATCTGAACTTATCTAATCTGGTCTGATCTGATTTGATTGTCTGATTTGACCAAACTTTGACCTTAAGTGTACGATAATCTGTAAGGAAAAAAATATCAAGTGGGGTTTTGCTAGATTCGTAATAATGTATAGTTTATTAATATGTAATTTTCATGCTTTTTTTCATTGCAAAATTAAAGATCCTTCACACTCAAAATTTCCTTGACCAACAAAGCATAGCTAATAGATTTCCTATCATCAAATTTCTCTTATTGTCAATCGATGTAAGTATGTAACACATGATTCCAAACATAAAGCCTTTGGTATTAATTTATTTTCAAATTAAAAACTGAGATTATTTTACCACAACACTACCATTCATTCAAAAAAAAAAAAAAAAAAAAAAAAAAAAAACTTCCATTCATAATGTAGTATTAAAATAACACTAACTCGCTAAAAAAATCATTCATCTCCACTGTTGCTTTCCTAAGAAGTAAAAATACATCTAACTTCAATGCACACAAATGGACTCACAAACACAATAAGTACCAAAAGTGATTATAGCTAGTATACCATGAAAAAAAAAAGTTCTTATGCAAAATAAGAATGAAAGTCGATCATTATAGAACACATCTTAGGTAAAACTTAAAATCAAAAAAAAAAAAAAAAAAAAAAAAAAAAAAAAAAAAAAAAAAACAATAATAAAAAATAAAAAGAGAGAGAGAGAGATAGACAAAGAGAAAACACTATTTCTCTTTTATCCAAATTCTCAAATGCAACAAAATGGAACAATATTGTAGAAACCAAAGCTAAAATTTGTAGCCTATGGTGGTCCACCATCAAAAGTTGTGCCAACGATACTAGGATTTGCATTGGCGATATTGTCATCTTCTTTCCAGATTTACCATCTCTAGATTGGTCTTTTTTCCTTAACTTCCAACACGTAAATTTGATATGTCCTTTGGCATGACAATAGTTACAAATATTATGCCTATTAACATTCTTGCCACTATTAGTTGATTCATTTTACAAAAATCTATCTTTGACAACCAAAACATCATTTTGAGGAGAACCTGACTTAACAATGTGACTTTCAATCATGTCTCTTTGAATTGGGGCATGGATAACATCCTTCACGCTCAAAATGTTTTTGCTACGTATCATAGTATCACGAAATTGTTTGTATGATGGTGGTAAAGAGCACAACAGCTTAACAGCTAAATCTTCATCATCCATCGATATATTGATTATTTGTAAATCCGTTAATATAGAAGTGGACGGGGATAAGGAATGTGAGAAGAAGGAAGTGGACGGGGATGAAAAATTAGAAGTTGTTTACCAATACGGACCATGGATGAGAGCTTCTCCACTGATATTATCTCAAGCGTCACAAGTCACTAGAGATATGGAGAAGAGGTTTCTTGATAAGATGTGCTCTGGCAGGAGGGGACGCAATGTCTCATATAACGACCCAGGTTCCATAAAATTGGGCCCTGTGGGGGCTGCTAGAAAGCTCAAATTTATGTCACCATCCTCTGAGGAGATTGATAGCAGCCTATGCAAAAGAGAAGCTCGATTGATGTTGGAGACTGATTCACAAACCCAGAAACTTGTCCTGCGAACAAGAAGTGTGAGTGGCGATTCTTGTGCTGATGTTGTCAAGGAGTGTGGGAAGGAAGGGGATGTTACTAGTGGTGAGATAGTGAGTGTGGTGAATAAGGAGACAACTTTGGACAATAACCTTGTTGTGCAAGATGTGAGTGAGTGGTGTGACTCTAACCAGATAGGGAAAGAGGGGGCAGGGACTCTTTCTCAATCAAAAACTGATGCTAGGAAAAAGGTTTGGAAGAGGGTGGGGAGGAAGGCTGATGGGGACCTTTGGACGAATAGGATATGTGTGAGTAGTAGAGGTAACTCTGGGGGAATGGGGTTTTGGTGGAGGGATATCAATGTGAAGGTTAGCTCCTATTCGATTCATCATTTCATTGTGGATGTATGTGATCATGAAAATAATCCTAAATGGAGAGTGGTAGGGGTGTATGGATGGCCGGAGTAAGAAAACAAACATCTTACATGGGCGATGCTACGAAGAATTAAATCGAGTAGTACTCTTCCGTCTGTGATGTTTGGGGATTTTAATGAGATTTTGAGTAATGGGGAAAAGAGGGGGGTGTCCTAGAAGTGAGAGTCTTATGGATGCCTTCTGGAATACAATGGATGATTGTAAATTAAGAGACTTGGGGTACAAGGGTAGCATCTTCACTTGGAAGAAAGGAAACTCCCTTGCAACTTTGAAAAGAGAAAGACTTGATCGTTTTATGGCGGATGTTGCGTGGTGTAATATGTACCCCAATTTTGTGGTTCGACATTTTCCAATTTATAGATCAGATCATGCCCCTATCCTCCTTGATACGATTAATTACTACGAGAGGGGTAGTGTAAAGAAGGCCTTTAAATTCGAGTCATGGTGGTGTCTAATGAGGACTGTGGGAAGGTGGTTGAGGAAGCCTGGTTGAGTAGCGTGGGATTGCAAACTGTTGGCCATATTGAGAGTTATGCTGAGAATTTGACTTCGTGGGCAAATCGCTGCTTTGGTGATCTAAAGAAAGAAAAAAAAAAACAGAAGATAAGCTCAAAGAAGTCCAGAGAAGGGATCCTGATGCTGATATGATAGCGCAATGCAATTCACTTACGAGCCAGCTTAATGAATTACATCGTATGGGTTTGCTCGTGCTAGAGCAAATGAGCTCAAGGACAGGGACAAAAATACCACATATTTTCATCAAAAGGCAAGTACCCGGCGCCACATTAACAACATCGGTGGTTTGTATGACGATGGTGAAGTGTGGAGAAGCACGAAAGAGGAGCTGGAAGGTACTACTGAAGCGTATTTTGCTGGCTTGTTCCAGACCTGCAATCCAACAGAATTTGATTTTTCTTTGGAGGGGATTGGGTATGTCATGACAGCGGAAATGAATGAGCGACTATGTGCTGAACCTACTACAAAAGAAATCAAATTTTCTCTTTTCCAGATACATTTGAACAAAGCCCCAGGGCCCGATGGTATGCATGCACTATTTTTCCAAAAATTTTGGCATATTATTGGGAATGATATTACTACTTTTGTGAAGAATTGGTGGTGTGGTGATTTGAATTTGAATGATGTTAATAAAACTTGTGTGGTTTTGATTCCGAAATGTGAAGACCCTAAACGTATAACGGAATTCAGACCCATAAGTTGCTGTAATGTAGTGTATAAAATAATCTCAAAAGTTATGTCGAACAAATTAAAACCTCTTTTGGAACAAATTATTTCCATCAATCAAAGTGTTTTTATTCCGAAATGGTTAATTACCGATAATGCATTAGTAGTTTTTGAGATTTTCCATTCCATGAAGAAAGGGGGTGGGGGAAAAGATGGGACGATTGCCTTAAAACTTGATATGTGCAAGGCATATGATAAAGTGGAATGGAGTTTTCTGGAGAGGGTAATGTATAAAATGGGGTTTTGTGATAGTTGGGTTTGGAGAATTTTGGATTGTCTTTCGAGTGTCTCTTTTACTTTCAAGATAAATGGGAGGATTTCAGGGTCGGTTGTTCCTACCAGGGGTCTTAGACAAGGTGACTCGATCTCTCCTTATTTGTTTCTTATTGTTGTTGATGCTTTCTCTACTTTATTGTCAAAAGTGGCGTCTGATAAGTTGATCCATGGACCGAGAATTTGTAGGGGTGCCCCCAGAGTGTCACATTTATTTTTTGCCGATGATAGCCTGCTTTTTGCTAAAGGTACTGTTAGTGAGTGCTCGGTGATAGTTGATATAATCAGCAAGTATGAAAGAGCATCCGGCCAAAGTGTTAATCTGACAAAAATAGATGTTGTGTTTAGCAAAAATGTGAGTGAGTCTCATCGATTGGAAATTGTTGATATTTTGGGGGGTGAGAGAAGTAGAAAAACATGAAAAATATTTGGGCTTACCTACGATTATTGGGAAGTCTAAGAAAGCTATCTTTGTTAGTCTAAAATAGAGAATTTGGTGGAAAATACAAGGGTGGAAAGAGAAGCTCTTATCGAGGCCCGGGAAGGAGGTGTTGATCAAAGCTGTTGCACAAGCGATCCCGACATATATATGAGTATCTTTAGAATTCCAGATAGTCTGATTGATGAGATTCATGAACTATTGGCTCAATTTTGGTAGGGCTCAACGAAAACATCTAGGAAGATGCATTGGCACAGTTAGGACTCAATGAGCAAGCCGAAGTCTCAAGGTGGCCTTGGTTTCCGTGATCTCAAAGTATTTAATCAGGCTTTGTTAGCAAAACAAGTGTGGAGACTCTACAACAACCCAAACCCACTTCTTTACGCTATCCTCAAAGCTTGGTATTTTAAACATAGTTCAATTTTAGAGGCTTACCATGGATACGATCCAAGTTACTCTTGGAGGAGTTTGTGGGGGGAAAAATCGCTGCTATTAGAAGGGCTTAACTGGAGAATTGGGAATGGAAAAGATATTCGGGTTTGGCTTGATTCTTGGATCCTTGGTAACGTTATTCCACCGCACACCACAATTTTTTATCCCGAGCTTCGTGTTGCTGATATAATTGATCAACATTGTGGTTATTGGAAGGTTGACATGCTGCGTTAGTTGTTCACTCCTGAGGTGCAAGCGCTTGTGCTGCAAATCCCCCTATCATTGGCTTTACTAAATGATAGAAAATTCTAGGGGCATACAAAAGATGGGGAATTTAGTGTGAAATCGGCATATTGGCTAGGGAAGTTGGGAAGAAATCATGCGGGAAACAATGTGGGTACTGCTACTGATCAGAGGGTGTGAAGCATTACATGGAGTATTGATGGTCCACCTAAATTGGGTCACTTTGTGTGGAATGCCTGTAAAGGAAGTATGGCAATAAAGAAGGTGTTGTATCGAAGGCATGTTGCTTTAGATGAGATGTGTGGTGGTTGCGGGTTGGAGGTTGAATCAATCTCACATACGCTCTTTGATTTCAGGGAGGTACAACATGTATGGAGGAGTAATGATCTTGCTGCCATTATTATTAGTGATTCGCCTAGGCATACCCCTTTCCCAAATTGGCTATTGTGGATGGCTGACAAAGTCAGTAAAGTAATGCGACGAAAAGTCTTGATAATTACGTGGGTCGTATGGTTTTGCAGGAACAAAAGAGTGCATGAAAATGCTGCTCTTGATGTTGAGTTTATTGCTGCAGGTTTTCTTTGAATGGTCCATGAGTACAATAGCTATGCAATAAAAGTCTTCAAGCCACCTGAGAGATCTCCAAGAGCTGCTGTGTCAACATGGAAGAGACCCTCACCTGATGTGATTAAACTAAACGTTGATGCCCACGTTGGTAATGGTGCTGCTAGGGATTTGGGTGTTGTGGCTAGGGACTGCTGTGGCTCCATTTTGTGGGCTGCTGTTAAGCGCTTCCCTGCTTTATGGGATGTTGAGGCTGCGGAGGTGGCTGCAATGCACTACGGGTGTCAAGTAGCATTACGTTTGGGTCATACAAATGTATGGGTGGAGAGCGATGCGGAGTTGGTGGTCAACAATATCAGACAAGCAAAGTGTGGTATTTCTTCTATTTGGCTAATCTATGACGACATAGATCGTCTTGCCAAGTCTTTTCATGTTTTTAATATTTCTCATGTTCGTAGAGCAGGCAATACAGTAGCCCATCTTGTAGCTCGATGGGATACTAGTAGTTGTGATGAACTAGTTTGTATGGGTAACTTTTCGCAAAGCATTTTAGCTCTTGCGGAGCTTGATTGGGAATAAATGTCTGCTAACGTCTTCCCTAAAAAAAACCCAATTCAAACAAATAAAAGTTTTATTTTACCACAAAAAAAAAAAAAAAAAAAAAAGTAATTGGATTTTGCCATCACTTAACAATATAGAATGAATCCACTTACTTGGGCTTCTCGATCAGTCGCAAGTGTGAGATTAAATTAAACCAGGTCCATCATTAATGCACTAAGCTTCCTTTCATAAAGTTTATGTACACCAACCTTAATTAAGAATTTTGTGAAGAGAAAAAAAAAAAAAAAAAGTAGTGTAAGGTTCTGTTCACTTCACCTTAAAATTAATAATGTTCAGTTAGGTTAAAATAAATTCGGTTCAATAAAAATAAGTTCTGTTTCGGGGTTTTTTATGTGTCCTACGGGAGAGTTACGTCACCAAGACAGGGTCCTCGCTGGTTGTACCTGCAAACAAACGGAAGCTCCGATTGTTCGGACTTCTGCCTCCGACGATCAAGTTAGTACATATTCGGAGTAAAAAGAAGAAAGTAAAAGTGGATCTTCTCGGATCCCGAGATCAGGTGTTTTCTCTATTGTAAGAGAATTGATTGTGATGTAATGAATAAATGTCCCCCCAAAATGGGGTAAATCTCCATATTTATAGGGTCATTGGTAAATGTGCCCTTACCTAGGTCATTCTGACCTAGATTTGGTGGGCTGCGCCATTTTGCGGCTTCCTCGGGAATTGGGCCCTGAAGGCCGTCTTTTTCCCTGTGTCAGCTGGTGATTGGTCCTTTTTAGACCTCTCCTAGGGTGACAAGATTGGACCACGTGGCCTAGGTATTTTTACCTAAATCATTTGCCCCTCACTGGGGTGTGGCGCTTGTGACACTTGTCACTCTGTCATTGGTGAACAGTTTTTTAACTATTCACCTTCTGGGGAAATTATAGGGGAGTCCCTGGTTTTACCCCTCCTCATTTTTGACCTTTTTGCAAAGTCTAGAGAGAGAAAGCAAAGTTTTTGGAGAGAGAGACTCTGATAATCGCCTGTGTTTTTTCGAACAAAATTACCGTCTGCTATTCCCGTTTAGCATAGTCGATCAACGCTTGACATCGATCTTTCTTTTCCAGAAAACTCATAAAGGTAACCGTCTCTCCCCTTCTCAGCTCTTTTATCCTTTTTACCATTTGTGTATATTGCATTGAATATATAAATGGATTCACCAACAACACACACAGCACAGCTTAGGACAGTAGTCAGCCGGTCTCCTGGTACGGCTGAGTCCAGGACTGGGGGTGCCGTCTCTGGGTGTTTGGACCACCCTCGTTCTTCCTCAAATTTGACTGTCTCTGTGTCTGTGCAGGATACTATGGCTCGGACAAAGTGGACGTCACCTGACTCGGAATATAGGGAGGAAGGCACACTAGAAGTGTCGTCTGACGAAGTTAGTCCGGTTGAGGAAGGAGTGAATTCTCCACCGGGTGCCCCTAGTACCCCAATCGATGGCATCTTGGAGGAGTCCGATCATGGAGACGGCAAAGAGGCCGGCCCAAGATCAAGCTCCAAGGAGTCAAGCTCACTGTAGGCGGATGCTGATAGTGAGGAGGATGAGGCATCCTCATGGCCAGCACAATCAGATCCGTTTGGGGCTCATGTGTCTGCTAGGAATAGAGTGGCAATGGAGACGGGTCTTCCCGCCTTCCTAGATAAGCGACCCCTAGGGAAAAATTGGGAAATGATACTGCCGCCTACGGAGGGCAAAATTGCTTGGGATGATGATCAGCAAAATGCTAACAATTACTTTGGTTGCTATGAGGCGGCATTCAAAGATGGCCTTCGCTTCCCCCTTTACGACGCAATAAAGGCCATATTGATGGGATATGACCTAGGCGTATGGCAACTCACCCCCAACTCGTGGGTGAACATTCTCAGCTATATCGCCGCCTGTGAGATGCAAAACATAAAGCCCAGCTAGGAGGCTTTAGCTTACATGCACTACTTAAGCCGTGCCCCAGGCGGCTGGATGGCGTGGTACACTTTGACCACTCACCCGGAGTACTTGATAACGCTTGACAAGTCATCAAAATGGACCAATTAGAGGAGCAAGTTTTATTTGGTCTCCTATCCCAGCCAGCGTCAAAATCATTTTCTCCGCCGGTATAATAAGAAACCAGATCTCTTAGGGAAAAAGTATGCCCTGCCGCATGTCCCTGAGGAAGGCTGGACACAAATACTAGAGCCGGGATTCTTTGGGACGACTACTATGCCCTTAGATGATGGCACAAAAATCATTGTCCCCATGAACTGGGTACCTCATCCGGATTAGTTGAATTGAAGGATGAGGCGTTCCTTTCCGCCTGTGGTCTTAGTACCGTGTTTGAGAGACGTACATAGACTACCATCCAGCACTTTAGTGCCGCTTATACTGTTTCTATGTAATTTGTTGAAAGTTTGTCTAACCAGCCAATAACTTTTTGCAGAAGAAGCTCTAAGCATGGTGGATGCTGGGAAGACGCCTACCAGGTCTGCAGCCAAGATCAGAAAGGGAAACTTGGAGAAAAGGAGGGCCCAGCTTGTGGCAAAAAATGATGGGGTAAGCTCCGTCTGCCCCCCTCCCCCCCCCCCCTTGACTTGTAGTTTACTCATCATTGTTTTGAGACGACATATTACCAGCTGTAACCCATGTGTTCCATTTTCAGGATGGGAGCAAGAATGCTTAAGCGAAAGCCGGGGGACTTTGCAAAATTCTCCTCCAAAACCAAAAAAGTGTTTCCTACTCAGACAACATTTTCTCTACCGTCTGGAGAAGACCAACCCACTTCTGCATGCAAAAGCCTTAAAAGCTTTGGCCTGGGTATTGACTTGGTTGGCAAAGAGCCAGAAGCCCCAAGGGCGTCGAAGAGTGGCGTGCCACTTCATGCTGCATCCGGTTCTGCAGCGGCTGGGGGTGACCTGGTCCTTTAGCCAAATCCCCAAGGTACGGATGATCCTTTCGACCTCCCATGGCCCCTTGGGGCCCTACGGGTTAAATCTCAATCTCAGCAGTCAGGAGATTCGTCCAGCAGCCGGCGGTCTATTGGTGCCGCTTATGATGCTATCTCACAATCTTTTCCTATTGGTGCATATGCTTCTCCTTGATGGCCGGACCTCCAGCAATACTCCAAACGGATGCTGAGGTCCATCACCCGGTCAGAGAAAGAGTTGGTTCCTGGGTTGCATCAGGTCAACCTGGAACGTATTACCGCCTTACTAGCTGAGGTAACTTTTCTTCAATATTTCAAATGCCTGTTTTTTAAAGATACTAGCTAAGTCGCTGTTTTGCCATTTGTATTATTGCAGGCAATGCTTAGGGTGGATGGGCTCAAATTTCCTTTTAAAAAGAAATAGGAGGAGGTAAGAGATGCCAACATCTGGGCGGTTTGAAGACCTTAACTCTGCTCAATATCGAATTACAATGCATGATATTAGGTTTAAAGCGAAGGAGATGACATAGGAGATTAAGGAGCTGATGGCTGCACTGGAGACAACCAATAAAAAGGTGTATGATCAGGAGCTTGAGCTTTAATACGCTCAGTCGGACCTCAAAGCTTTAGAGGGAGCCGATAAAGAGAACACTGAGCTCCGTTCAAACATCAACTAGCTTGGGATGAGATGGTCAAGGTGCGGAGCGAGCACAAGGCCGCTCTAAAGTTTTGTTTTCGAACTTCCCTCGATGAGAAAAAATTTTGAAAAAGTTTTTTGAACTTCCCCAAAAGAAAAGATCGACATGAAAAAAGGACGAAGTTTTGAGCTTCCTCATTGAGCAAAGCGAGATAAATCGCATGGATTTTCTTCTTGTCAACTTGAATTTCTTGTCTTGATAATAATGTATGCATGATTAATGTTCG